CCATTCCTCTGCTTTTAACTCTTTCTAGTTTTTACTATTGATTCCATATGGTCATGATTAAACTCTCTCTCCCTCTCTAAATTTATTATAATTATGTTATTGGAATGCCAGCAAAGATTGCTTTGAAATCGCTATCCTTTCGTCAAGAAATGAAAATGAAAATCATTCACAACTCATTTCGAGTCCCATTAAAAATGGACAAATTAAACTGTTAGAGTAGCAATAAGAACAACTTGAGGATCAGTATTTGGGTGGAAATATACGTGAATGTGGAGAAATCACAGCCTCCTGTATGTACTTCTTAGAGTTGTTGGGGCTCGAATGCATTGCACTCATTTCCCCACAGCTGGAAGTGAACCGCCGCCGTCTCATCTGCCACGAGTGCCAGGCATGTCTGGTTAAGGCCTTCCGATGATGACGACGTCTTCATGCTTTTGTCCAAAAGTATGAACCTTGTGTTTATGTTGTTCTGTGCTGCTGGCACTATGTCTTTGAGTGGCACCATCTATCTATATATCTTTGCTTTGATTATAACAAGAAGGCAACATAAACCACAGAAAATGACCACAGGGTCTCATCTCATGAGAATTTAGCTTACCTGGGTTTTTTGGATTGGGGTTTCAGTTGCGAGACGGCTACAAGATGAGCGAGATACGGTGGCTGATGGCGGCGAAGACGGTTGTGAGACGGCTAGTTGGAACCTAGCTAGTGTGAGTGCAGAGCGGCTGACAGGAGATGAGAAAGAGATAGATATAGGAAGAACAGGGCTGATCCTCTTGTGTTACGCAGCCCACCAATGACCCTTTATCCGACTACTACTAAGGCCATCCCCAATGGGGTTTGAAAGGAGTCTGCACCACCATTGGGCTGCAATATATAGCAACCAAAGCAAAAAAGTCATCCCCAATGGTTGAATTTTGAGGCCTTAAACGGTTGAGCCCCATCGGAGCTATTCCCATATTTAGGGGACCCATGAAACTGAATGTGACCCACATGGAGAAAAAGCTACCACCCATGTGTGTTATTGATGATTTGCCTTGGGACTGCAGCTCCTATACTCTCTTCTTGACCAATGGCTGCTTCCTCTTTCTTTTATTTTTTATTTAATGTGACCAATGAAAGGGATAGGTTAGATAAGGTTTGAGTTTGGGTTTGACGGATGAGGCTTGCTTGTTTTTTCTTTTCCAAGGTAACAATCAAGGTTTTTTTTTAATAGATAAGATTTTCAAATCTTGCCCAAATTTTAAATTTTTTGGTTGAAATGTTTTAAAAAAAAAAAAAAAACCTAATATATCATAAGATACATGAAAGTAAAATAACTTTTATTTTTAATATAAAAAATAACACTTATAAAAAATTATATAGAATATAGAATTCCGGATATAGAGTCCTTCTGTTGTGAAAGTGACGCCTTTAGGCCATCTCCAACCATGTTGGGGCTAAATTCAGATTTCCACCCTCCAAAATACAAATATTCATGTATTTTCAAGACTCAATTTTTTTTTTCTTCTAGCCTTACAGACTTATAAGTCCACAACTTTATTAAATTGTTTAAGAATGATTAACCTTTAAATTTTTTTTTTCTCATGAATTTTTCTTGACATTATTTTTGTTTCAACCTTCGTGATTTAATTTTCTAAACATTTTAACCTAAAAAAAATAAAATTCCAAAACACAATAGAATTTCACTTAAAAATAAAAACAAATACAACAATATTTTATTTCATGGACTTTGGAAGTAAAAACAAGTCACACACGATTTACATTAAAAACAATGGAACCACACGATTTTTTTAAAGCGGCGGCAATCCCTAGAGCTGCTACTTTTGTGTATGCCTGGAATAATTCGAATCCTTCATTAAAGCCATTACCATAATTGTCTTCCATTTTTACTTTTGTTTCATTGGATTCCTTTATCTTCATTCAATAATGTTCTGAACTTCTGCCCACCTCCACTTGTGTTCTTCAATTATTTTATGAACAATTTCCCATCTCCAATTGTCTTATTTCAATCATGTTCTGAACCATTGCTCATCTTTGTCCATATCACTTTATTGGATTCCCTTATATTTTCATATCTTCATTCAATTATTTTCTAAACCATTTCCCATATCTTATTGTCTTGTTTGTCTTGTTTTAATCACGTTCTGAACCATTGCTCATCTTTGGTCATCTCACTTTATTGGATTCCCTTATCTTTTCCTATCTTCATTCAATTATTTTCAAACATGTAGGTCATCTCATTCTCTTGTCTATTTAATAAGTGTTATTTTATTGAATTGACCACACAATCTCCTTCAATCTCATTCAATCTCATTCTCCTTCTTACAATGAATTCATGTGAGAAGGCTATATAAAATTTCTTCAATGATGATTCTGATGATGATGACCTTCATCAACAGAGGGTTGCAATGGCTGTTCAACACCATCCGTTTTTGTTGGTGAAATATGCTCAATAATCCAAACACGGTGGTTCTATTGTAGGCTGTGAATATAAGAATCAGAAGCGAGAAAAACATCATAAGAGTCTCATGGAGAACTATTCTGTGAAAGACCACTTTATCCCTTAGTGGACTTTCGCAAGTGGTTCTGCATGAGAAGAGAGCTTTTCTATCGCATCTTGAATGATGATGCTGCACATGAGCCATACTTTACCTAGAAGATAGACGCTTGCGGATGACAAAGTCTATCCCTAGTACAAAAGCTAATAGTCGTTTTTTAAGATTTTTCAAGCATGATACAACTTGAAAGGCCTACTTAGAGGTTTATTATCATTCAAGAAAATTGTTTTTGCATTCATATCCTACCCACAAAATAAAATAAAAATCAAGTTAAGAATTGAAAAGAATTAGAATTATAAATTTTAGCATTGAAAAAATGGGTACTCACCACATCTTCAAGATTGGAGCCGCTCACATGCCTTGCATTGCCTTTGTCATACATGCCTTCTATAGAGAACATTGTTGGTTAATGATCTTAAACCGAGAAGCAATAGCTTGCGGTGATCGTATTCCGGCTCTGCTCGTGCACAGATCATTTTCCAAAAAAATTTGGTACACACGCAACCAAAATGAGTTGTTTGATTGATTGGTGCCAATAGTCCCCTCTTCAGAGATAGAAACCCACCCTTTGCATAATGCCTCATCTTCTCGTGGTTTCTAATTCACACCTCTTTGGGGTTTTGGGGCCATTCTCAACAAGAATGAAAGTAGAATAAAGAAATATAATAAAAGGAGAAAGGAAAAAAACGATTTTTGGTGGATTATTTACCAAATGAATAAAAAATAATTTTTGGTGGATTACTTACCAAATGAATGGCTATTTATAGAGTTTGAAATAAGTTTTGGGATTGGATTTGATTTAGATTAATTATAAATATTATTTTGACCGTTTGTTTTAAAATTGAAACGTTGGATGTGAAATTTCACCGTTTAGATTGCCTAAAATTAATTCTAATCGTTGAAGTAAAATATAGCCGTTGCAATAAATAAATAAATAAATAAATAAATAAATAAATAAATAATTTGCTAGCCACGTGGGGCCCAGCTCTTTTTCCTCTTCACTTGGGCTTCCAAACAAAGCTTTGGGCTCTATACAAAATATCAGTCCATGCAAAACTTGGACTGGAATTCCATATCAAATTTGACATTTCTCAAATTTCGACCCCCCAAAATACATGAGCTGGAGAATAATTTTGGACTCAAAACTAAAAATTTGGGTTTCCATCCAAATGGTTGGAGATGGTCTTAGAGCTCCAGAGATTCTATTAGAGCCCTAAATGAGGCTCTATCAACCTCTTTTAGAGCCCCAACCATTGGGGATGGCTTAACATGTTCAGTCTCAGATATATTAGTTATTAAATAAAACATTACTTTTAAACGATTAATTGAGATTTTAAAAGATTTTAAAGAAGTTTAAAAGTCCAGGTCTATTCAATCACATTTTTATAGAAGCTTATAAAATTATGGGTGTATTCAATCCGGACTTTTAAGAGTCTATCTAAATTTGGATGCATCCAATCATGACTCCATAAAAGTTTGGTTGTATTTTTTAAAAACTCATTGATAAATGAAGAGTTGTGGATTTCAATTGATTCTAGACTAATTTTAGGCTCTGACAAATCTTTGCTTCCACAAAAAAGAATTTGATATATATTACTTTATTCAATTAAAAGGTGTTTTGGGGGGAAAAGGGAAGGGGGGGGGGGGGGGGGGGGTGTGGGGG